GGTGGCTCACACCTGTAATCCTAGTTACTCAGGAGACAGAGATCAGGGAAGTTGTGGTTTGAAGATAGCCCAGGCAAATAGTTCTGCGAGACCTTATCTTGGAAAAAACCCATCAGAAAAAGAGGACTGGTGGAGTGGCTCAAGGTGCAGGCCCTGATTTCAAATCTTAGTACTGAAGGAAAAAAAAATTAAAGGTCTTCTCCTAGGCTATAATATTTGTTTGTTCTATTTATAAAGATATAAATACCCTGTTATTTTCTTCAGTGACTAAATCACCTCAAACCACCTAAAATAATTTCAAACTTGCAAATGTGTCAGGAATTGAAGACAGTAATATCAAGCCCATTGATAGGACAGTACAAGGTAAAATTGTGAAGGGAGACTTGATTTCTGGCCTCCAAATTACTCATACATACTCACTGATATGACAGCATGGGAACCACTTTCTATTCTACTAAAGGGACATGCTGAAGTTGTGAGAGGTACTAAACAGTTTCTGCTGAAAAGCATTGATTCTTTGAGCCTACAAATTAAGGAGCAAATGTTGTCATTTCTGCTTCTTGTTGTCTTTGCTCTGAACTACTGTCTTCTGCAGTCACCTTGGAATCAAGAAAGGACAGGATGATTGGTAACATCTTTATGACAAGGGACTGAAACCACCCCCAAGGAACATAAGGAATAGCAGAGGAGGCTGTAGACCCTGGCCCCTGCCTAAATGAGGACAGTTATCTATAATGACAAGGCTATGTCCTAGAGCAGGATAATTATCCCACGGGAGCCAGATTGCTCCCCTCAAGTGATGACAGCAATAACAACTTCTCCAGGAACCTTGAAGGAGGACTGAGATAAATGGTCTACCAGGCCCCACCCTGAGACAATTTGCTGCTTGACCACCTGCCTGCTGCTACCTCTGACCACTGGATCACATCTATAACTGGAACTGTTTATGCATACTTTATGTCCCCTGCCCCTAGTTCTTTTGTCTACTTAAACCTATAGCTCATGCCTGTTCTTCAAAGATGGCTGAAGATAGGCTGCGTGCTTACTCTGCCTTTTGCCACAGCATGTCCCCAACCATGTAATAAATCTCCTTTCTCTGCCCTTTGCCATGTCTTTTTATTTTACATATAGGGGTGAGAGGCCAGAACTGACATGTGGAATCCCAGGAGTTTGGGCCTAGGTCCAAAACTGGTTTCAAAGTGATCAAAGATTCTTTACACTGGCTTTGTCTCCCAGCCACGGAGATAAGAAAATTTGTTACAACCTTTGCAGATGATTCAAAAACAATGGCTCAACTCGTGTTTATGAAAACTAGTGTTTTGGTAGAAGTATGGCAGATACATGGTCAGGAAGATATAAAATTATGTCCAGGTGAGTAATTACGAAGGACTATTTGGTTCTCAAAGGCAAAGAACTTTGTATATCAGGTATTGGAATAATTGGTAAGAGGTGTCTGAGCTGGGCATGGTGGCTTATGGCTGTAATCCTTGCTACTTGGGAGGCTAAGACTGGGAATATCGTGGTTTGAGGCAAGCCTGGGCAAAAAGTTTGAGAGGCCCCCATTTCAAGCAATAAAAGTGGGGTGTGGTGGCATGCACCTGTTATTTCAGCTAGGCAGGAAGCATAAATAGGATGCTTGTGGTCCAGGCTGCACCAGGAATAAAGAGACCCTTAAAAACATGGTTTCTCTGTGTTATGTATTCTCAACTTACTTGAAAGCCTGGAAGTTCCTAATATACCTCTGCTGCCATAATAAATGTAAATGAGATTATGACAAGTCTCTCTGGTCAAAAATAGAATAAGCATACAGGTTCAAAGATTAGCTATGGGAAAGAAAAGAAAAAGCACCCTGAAATTCTAACTCTTCAAAGATAGAACTAGGCACTCTTGAAGACCATCATGAGACTGGGGGACTCTGTGGGCAGGGAGGAGGAATGAATGGAATGATGAAACAACAGAACAAATAGGAAGTTTCAAAGGTGAGACTCAAAAGAGGAAATGACTCAGTCACAGATTAATGGGAGGGAATTCCAGTTAGGTGACTTGTAGGTGACAAAGCGATTTGGGAGAGCTAGAGAGGACAGATGAGTGCAGCATCCTCTGAGGTCATGGGCAGAAAGCACAGCATGAATAGTCTACAAAACATTATTCCACCAGAAAATTTTGCCGTTCTGAGCTTTTAATACTTAGTCCAGTTCCAGTCATTGAATTTTTTTTTTTTTTCTTCTTCTTCTTTTGGGCAGCACTGCAGTTTGAACATAGGGACTCATGCTTGCTTGCTAGGCTGTCGCTCTACCCCCTTGAGCCACTTCACCAGCCCTTTTTTGTTTTGGCTGTTTTCTTGATAGGGTCTCACAACTATTTGCCTGGGGTTGGTTTCAAACTGGGATCCTTCTGACCTTTACCCCTGAGTAGCTGGGATGACAGGCATGAGAAACTGGCACCCAGCTAAAGGATGGATCTCTTTATGCTTTCTAAAGTTTGGACTTTGTTCTAAATTTGGAGATTTCTGAAATATTTTAAGCAGAAAATAACAATCAAATTGCTCTTGAGAAGACCGCTGAGGTAGCAGGGATCTTGGGAGGTGGGCTAAGAATAGAGGGGGAAAGGTTTAAACTAAGGCATAAATGGAGACAAAAGGATAGAAATTTCTGAGTAAGACTAGATGTGAGGGTTCAGTAAAAGGGACCATAATGATAGCTAGGCTTGGATATACTGATAGTAGAAGAATAGGGGGGATTTTTTTGTTTTGTTTTTTGAGAGTAGGTAGAGAGAAAAAAACCTGTCTTTCCTTGACCAGAAGTTACCAGTGAGAAGTATCAATGTGCATTTTCCTCTTCTTTTGATGCTATCATCATGCAAGTCAACCACACCCTTTTTCTAGTGTGTTATGTATATGGGTCTTGAGGTTGCATGTATTGTATTTCTGAATTTCTATGAGCTATAAGTCCCTCTCCAAGGAACAGAATTGAACAAGTAGGTTGTACACTGTTCACTAATAATGGAGAAATAATACTTTAATAATATAAAGAAATACTGTTCTGGTTTTTCTAGTGGTACTACGGATGGAACGCATGTATACTTGGCAAATGCTCTACCACCTGAGCTGAGCCTCTAGCTCTTTTTTATTTTGTTTTTGAGACAGGGTCTTGCTAACTTTCCCTGTTCTGGCCTTGAACTCATGACCCTCTTGTTTCTGCCTCCAGAGTAGCTGGGATTACAGTCTTGCACCACCACACCCAGCTAAGAAATAATTAATATGTGATCTAAGACCTCATTTCATACATAAATAATACAGTAAAGGCAACAAATCCAATCTGTTCCTCGCTAACTGCAACAGTAAAGCAGACATGATAAAATAAGATGTACTATTTTATCTCTTTGAAATTACATTCTGAGATACACACTACATTTAAAAAATTAACCTTGTCTTTTATGTGCACATTATTTCACTCAAAAACCAGAGATAGGAAAACATTCTTAGCTGTCTATCTAGGATTTTAACATCCTTAGCTCTTCATCTAGGATTTTAAGTTGTATTTACAACACGTTTGCTTTCTATTTTGATCAAAATATTCTGTCATTAATGACAATATTTGTGAGTTCATTAAGTCTCCTTCAAAGTTATCTTTTTCCCTCCATCCGTAATTCTCAAAATCTACAGGATATCATTATCTCTTCTCCCAAGAAAAAAAAAGAAACAATCGTTCAACCCCCCCCACCCCCACCCCAAACACAGCCGTCTCAGAACAGGAAAGAGCGGAGGCGAAAGTTATGACAGGCGGCGCGATGCACAGGAATGGGGCCGAGGTGGCAGTCACCAGGCCCGGAAGGTTAGGGGACTCGCCAAAGGAGAACGTCCCCAGAGCTGGGACCCGACTGGTGCTCAGAAACCAGAGACAAGGCGAGTGAGGCAGACAGAAGCTCGACCCTTTGGGACAGCCTGAAACACGCAAGGAATGCAGGAGATGCGTCAGGAATGCAGGGCGGACACCCAGCCCCTAAGGCTGAGGCCGTCGGGCGGGAAACGGCGCCTGACGCAGCCTGCCCGCCTGCCTGCGCGAGGAAACCGGAAGCCAGAGGCCGACTGTCTCCCAAAAGCAAGAGTCGCTGCCCCAGGGTCCGTAACCACAGCCACACAACCTAGCCGGCTTGGGGGTGGGGCGAAGGGCTGGGCCAGAACTTTTTCCCCGCCCCCTAACAGCGATCGACTGCGTCCTCAGTGCGCCTGCGTAGGGTGAGGCCGGACTCTATTTGGTTATTAAGCGTGCGGCGGCAGCGGCGTTGCTTACCCGGCATGCTGTGCGGCCGCGGCGGCCTTACGTCTTTCCCTTTCCCAACCCTGCCCCCTCTCTCCCTCCCGCCGCGGCCCCCCCCTTTCCCTAAAGTGAGTGAGTGAGACGGGCAGATGGAGGAGGGACTGTAATGGCGGCGGCCGGCAGCTCCCTGCTCTGACCCACGGCAAACACATAGCAAGGACCCCCTGCCCGCCCCTCTCCCGGCCGGCCTCCGCCCCGCCATCGCGGGCCACCCGCTCCGGCCCTTCCCCCAGCTGTCGGTGTCTCGCCCTGCGCCCCGGCGGGGGCCCCCACACACAATGGACGAGCTCGCCGGAGGCGGTGGTGGCGGCCCGGGGATGGCGGCCCCTCCCCGGCAGCAGCAGGGACCTGGGGGGAACCTGAGCCTTTCGCCGGGGGGGAATGGAGTGGCGGGCGGCGGAGGTCCTCCGGCCTCCGAGGGAGCGGGTCCCCCGGCAGGCCCCGAGCTGTCCCGGCCTCAGCAGTACACTATCCCGGGGATACTGCACTACATCCAGCACGAGTGGGCTCGGTTCGAGATGGAGCGAGCGCACTGGGAGGTGGAGCGCGCCGAACTGCAGGTACCTCGCTGGGGTCGGTGTGCGGGACGGTGGCCGCGGCGGGGTTCCTGGTGTGGGGGGGGTGGGGCCGGGGCTCCCTTCTGCCGGAGCCCGCGCCTAGGGGAGGCCGAGAGGAACCTACCTGTGCGGCTCGGCGGTGATGGTCCCGGCGACGGCTGGCCTCGGGGCCCCCTCCCCCTTTCCCACCGAAGCTCGTTCCCCAACCTTCACTGGCTACGCGGTGCGGGCTTCCTCGGGGCAGCCATTTTGGCTTTTAGTATGGCGTCTGCGGGGGCGCCTCCGGGGCTTGGGGCCCAGCTGCTCTCTGCTAGGGTCCGGCGTGGGGCTGCTGGGCACAGAGTTTGCTCTTGCTTGTTTTCCTGGAGATGGAGAGCGGGTCTTGGGATGAGCGTCTTCCCATCTCCCCCCCACCTTCCGATTTGGCCTGTCTGGCCCCCCTCCCGCGCGACTTGGTGCGCAGTTGCCCCCTGACAGCCACGCTTCGGTGTCGGGCCGCTCACTACCAGGCACAGTGACCGACCCGCGAACTTTTCGTTCCCCCTCAACCCCCGCCAGCCCTTAAGTGCCTGCTTACCTAGATTGCTGCTGTACTCACTCGGATTCCCTTTTAGTTCTCCCTGGTGATTCAACTGAATTTTCCTTTGCCAGTACCCTTCACTAGACCTTCCTCAGTCCCTCTCTTTACCCATCCAAAGCCAACCCAGACTTTCCTTGTTATGTTTACGAGACGACTGAGAACAGAATTGGTATTAGTTTCAAGTAAAACGTACTTGGTCGCGATACTTCTGAAGCAAAGTTAAATTGAGTTCCTGATTCGTTCCTCCTAACCATGGATAGACTGCATTACCTAACTTTTGAAAGATGTTGGTGGTTTAGGGCTCATGTCCTGGATTTCAGAATTGCAGCAACCTTTTGGAAGGATTTGTTTTTAAATCCGTTTGCAGAGCAAATTTAGGCTTCGAAGAAAAAAAACCACTCATCTAAATAATGTTGCACCTGTTCCTCTTACTGTCATATTTAGGAAGCAAGCAGTGTTGTCAGATATGCCTACAGTGAAGGTTAATTAGGGACAAGATGAAGAAGGAAGATTGGGTTGATGTAGGAGGGACGTCCTCAAATAAACATGAATCGCTTCAGTTTGATTTGGAACTAGTAAACTTTCATTTGACTCTACAATGTCGGTGAAGTTAAATTTCTGTTGTTTTTGGTTTGAGACAGCCCTGGCTGGCCTGTAACTAAGAATTCTTCTGACTCAACCTTCTAGTTCTAGGATTACAGGCATGTACCACACCTGGCTCTAAACTTCTAACAAGTAAAAAGACTTACATATTTTGTTATTTTTGGTCAAGTCACTATTTCAGAATTGTGTTTTCCTATACTTTTGGGTTTAAAAATACAACTTTCAAAAACTTTGCATCAAAATTGTCTGGAGTTTCCTTGTGTACAGTCTGTTTTAAAATACTGGGAATTTATAGAATTTCTTGGTATATACCTTTCTAGTACAATATGCTATAAACGGTGTGTGTACGTGTGAATAGAATGACATTAAAGCATTTATTTCAGAAAATTTCATTGAGGCTTGGAATCACTAAATAAAACCAGCAGTCCTGTTTTCAGTTTTGACCTTTGTACTGTAGCACATAAGTTTTGATTTTAATGCTTTTCAAATTAGCAATTGCATTTGTCACCCATCTGCTTCATTAATATGTGACTAAGAAAATATCTTTTTCGTATGTAAATTAATAAGACCTTTACATTGTAGAAGCCTGTGTTGTCTCTCATCTCCCTTGTTCTGTTTCTCCTGCTTACTTGTTTTCAGTTGATCCCCTGTTGGTATAATTATGATAGAACCATTCTAGTTTTCTGTTGGTTTTTTTGTTTTGTTTTGTTTTTGTGGCACTGCAGTTTGAATTTAGCCTCTGTTTCTGCTTGAGCCACCCTGCCAGCCCTTTTTTGTGGTGGGTTTTTTTTCCAGTTAGGGTTTGGAGAACAATTTGCCTGGGTTAGCCTTGAACTTCGATCCTCCTGATCTCTGGGATCTCTGCCTTGTGAGTAGCTAAGATCACAGGCATGAGCCACCTGTTTCTGGCTTGTTTGTTTTGCAGAATTGTTAATAGGGTATTTTTAGACTCTCAGTATTTCCAGGAGTTTTCACATTTCATACTGATTCTTTTGTAAGAAAATGTTTATGATTGTGTTGTTTTTTTTTTTTTTTTTTTTATGTGCACCATGTCATATTCGACATGTTTTATTGGGTTACTTAGTAGGGTTTCAGGTTTGTCTATCTAGAATATTGAATTAGCTTTAGGTACCTTCATTCTTGAGTAAGATTGCTTGTGAGAAGCATATTTAAAAATATGTGTTGAATACTTATGTAAAAATGTGTGTGTTCTGGTTTTAGTTGAAACATCAGTGGATATAAGCTTTGGATTTAAATCGTAAGCTTAAAGACAGCATAGGAATAAGACACTTTCATATCATTATTATATAAAGTCCTGGGTGCAGCAGTCATGTGCACATAATATTTTTTGAGATGGTATCTTGACTTGAACTTCTGAGTACAAGTGATCTCCCTCCCTCAGCCTCCCAAATAGGGACTACAGATGTGCTCTACTATGCCCAGCTCATCAACACTTTTTTTTTGGAGGTGCTGAGGATTGAATGCTTGGCAACTGCACTACCACTGATGTATAGCCTCTAGTTCTACTCATGTTTTCTCTCTCTCTTTTTTTTTTATTGGGATTTATTCATTGTACAAGGAGCATTCATTGTGACAGTTCCCCTACTCATGGATTTAGTGTCCATTACTGAAACTTCCATAATGAACACGAAAAGGTTAAGTTATACTTGATGTTAATGTAAAAGTTTTATATGAAATCATATTTCCTTAGCTTTGGAAAAGATACTAAAATGGAACTTTGCAGTATGATTCTGTTCTTCATAAAGAATTTGGGGAAAGAAGTATGTCTTAGTAACTTTGAAGTAAACTAACAGATGAAGTCTTTTTTTTTTTTCTTTTTTCTTTTTTGCAGTACTGGGGTTTGAACTCAGGGCTGCTCGCTAAGCAGGCATTCTGCCTCTGAAGCCACACCTAGCCCTTTTTTGAGTTGGGTATTTTTCGAGATGAGTTTCACTAACTACCTGCCTGGACTGGCTTCCAACTGCGATTTCCTGATCTCTGCCTCCTTAATAGCTAGAATTATAGGCATGAGCCACCAGTGCCTGGCCAGATCATGTCGTAAAGCTTTTTTTACTTCTGTGGTGCTTCCTTACCTATGGACTCAGCTAAAGCATTGTTAGAAGGGCTCTAGAACAATGGCTCTTAAACAGGAGTTCCAGTTGTGGAACTTGTAAAAATATGCAGGCCTCTGCCTTTTCCTCTAGAAATTTGGATTGATTTGGTCTAGAGCTTGAAAAAACATGGAACTATTTGTGAGTGTGGCAATTCATGTTGTATAAAAGATTATGTGTCAAGCTGAGCATTGTCATTCTGCCTCTTAAGCCACTCCACTAGCCCTTTTTTGAGTTGGGTATTTTTCGAGATATGGTCTCACTAACCCCTGCTGTTGTATAAAAAATGATAATTGCCATTTCATCAGCATTAAAACCTTATGAGGTGGGTATTACTCCTATTTTAAGTTGAGACAAATTTAAATAGGTTACATAACTTCCCTGAGGTCTTCCAGCTATAAAGTATTGCAACTGAGGTTTGAAACCACGTTTGTCTAGTTGCAAAGATTAAAATCGATTGCTACTCTTTTTCAGTGCTGGGTATTGAACCCAGGGACTTACTTGGGTATGTTAGGTAAGTGCTCTACCATTGATCAACCCACTGAATCACTGCCTGTCCTGTAGCTTTTTTTTTTTTTTTTTAAAGTAAGTGGAATCCAGGCAGGCATGGTGGCTCATGCCTATAATCCTAGCTAATCCTTTTTCAGGAGTTGGAGATCAGGAAAACCCCAGTTCAGGGCCAGCTCAGGTAAAAAGTTCTTGAGACCCTATCTCCACCAATAGCTGGACAGGGTGGCAGGCATCTGTCATCCTAGCTATAGGGGGAATGCACAAGTATGTGAATTATAGTCCATGCTGGCCTGGGGCATGAGTCAAGACCCTATGTCAAAAATAATCAACTCAGAAGCTGGGAGGGCCAGTAATCCTAGCTACTTGAGAGGCTGAGACTGGGAGGCTATCCATTTGGGGCTGGCCTGGGCAACTAGTTCCTGAGACCCCCATCTCCACAATAAGCAGAGCAAAGTGGGTTGGGAGTATGACACAAGTGGTAGAGCGCCTGCTTTGCATGCATGAATCTGAGTTCAAGCCTCAGTACTGCCAAAAGTAAAAAATACTAACTCAGAAAGGGTGGAGGGCATAATTCAGGTGGTACAGCTGCTTAGAAAGGCCTTGAGTTCAATCCCCAGTACCACTAAAAAAAGAGAAAGAAATAGAACCTGACTTGTAATTCTGGGTCTACCATTATGTGGCACATACTGAATACATTTCAACAAACTTTTATTGAGCCCTCATTGTCTGCCATGCATATTGTTAATTGTTAATAATGTTATATAAAATGTTATAAGCACATTGTTAATATGTGCTTATATTTTCCTCTGTAATTAGTGTGTAGTAAATGTATTTTTGGTATATACAAAATGTGTGGTGGCAACAAGTAGATATATAACAGATTATAAAACTATGAATAAAGATATGATACAACCAATACGTAGAAAATCGCAGTACAGTAGGTAATATTTTAAAACTAATTCTTGAGCAAATACAAAAATTAATTTGTGTTTGCATATTTTGACATACAGATTGCTCATAAGATGATAGAAGTTGCTGCCTAAAGATCCTTAATAGGAGATATTTTGCTTAGACATAACTTGATTTCTTCATTTTTTAGTGTGTGGTGGGGAGGGAGAGACTTTAACTGTTTGTCTCTAAGTTGTCCAGGCTGTCATGAGCCCAGGATCTTCTTGCCTCAGTCTCCCAAATAACAGATTACAGGAAAGTCCCACAATGCCCAGTTTACTCTTTTCCTTTTATTGTCAGGGTTTGCAGATGCTGGTCTACAGTAATACACAAATCCTACTGCCTTTTCCATGACAGGATTTTTTATGAATCTACTGTGAAATTTCAGAAAAAAAGAGTAATGATTTTTCATAAAAGCATTCCTTTTAGATTGAGAGTTTATTTATTTTTATTTTGGTTATTTTTTGAGACAGGGTCTCCTCTGAGCTTCTGGTGTGCTGAGATTACAAGCCTGTACCACCATGTCCAGCTTAGTTAAAAATTTTAAGGCTTCATAATTTTTTTGCTGTTCAAATGTTGGTGACAGTAGAGATATACTAAAGTTAAACTTAAAAAAAAAAACATTAAGAGGGTTAGGGGCGTGGCTCAAGTGATAAGAGTGCTTGCCTAGCAAGTGTGCGGTCCTAAGTTCTAACTCCAGTATCACCAAAAAATAATAATAGCAGTAATAATATATTATAAGCCACCAAAAATAATAATAGCAATAGTAATATAATTAAGATTCCACAAACTTAGGTCTGTCTTCCTGTTTCTGTTGGAAGTCCTGGAAAAAAATTGAAGGACCAGTGACAATTTTCTTTATTCTTTTCCACTTACCCATTTACTTCACTCTATAGTCTTACCCCACCCATCCCCCCCTTTTTTTTTTTAAAGGAAGACCACTCTCTCCCTCTTCCTCTTGAAAGAGGGAAAGAATGATCAATGGCAAATGGCAGTTAGAATAAAGCAACACCAAGCACTGGCTTCATGCTCAGAAGAGAGAACTGTACCTCCTTGTGGTTTCCAATTAAGTCATACCTTCAACTCCTTTTTCTTTAGTTGTTTTTCTGATAGGGCATTGTGTTTTTGCCCAGGCTGGCCTCGGACTGCAATCATCCTACATATGCCTCCCAAGTAGCTGGGGTTGCAGGTGGGTTCTCCCATGCCTTGTCCCTTTTTTTCTTTTTCTCACTGAAATATTGAAGCCCAGAAGTTATGTGATCTGCCCAAGATCATGCAGCTAGAGGCAGCAGAAGCAGAACTGGAATTTAAAACTGAACAGGCTACCTCTAGAGGCCATGTTTGTAGCCAGCCCTTTAGGTTTTTGGACATGCGGATGTTCAAGACATATTTGTCAACTTCCTGTTAAACTTTTGAACTTCAAATTCATTTCATCCATTCTGTTGATCCTTAAGTGCTTACCTTGCTCTCCACCCCAACACACTTAACTTGCTC